TTGTAATGTCTTCATCCTTGTAGATATGACATCATCACTTCCATATGTTTCACTAAACAGAATACAGACCTCTATTTCCAAGGTATTGTTTGACCCAGACATAATAAAAATATAAAAACAAACTTAAAATGCTTAAGTAATTTTTTAAACTACTGCAAAATCAATTGTCAAAGTATGTTTGTAAACATAAATGCATTGACTGTGGAGGAAAATATTTTTAAAAATTTTAAATAAATATTATTTGTAATTAATCTGTGTTTTACTTTACTTTATTTACTAGACTTACCGGAAAGAGAACAGCCTTCGTAGGTGGTTCTTTTTTTACAAATAGGTTTTAGGTACGCAAACTTGAATAAATTTTGAACATATTTGATCACTAAACAAATTATTTATAATAAATTTTAGAGGTCGTAATATTTTCTCAGCATTTGATTTAAGGACTTCAGCTCTTTTTCCATCCGGGCCAGCTGATTTATTGTTTTTTAAAGTTGTAATGGTTTCAATATAGACATTCAGTCTACACTAAACAATAAAACTCTAGTAATGCTTTCTACGCTCGAGTACTTCAAAAGAAATATTTTATCGGGCAAGATCTCGTTGCCAAACGGTTTCTAATGTACTAATATCGGATGTTATGTTAAAGAGACTCATCACCGCGTGCCGAGATTGAACTCCTGCGGTTTGGACCTGCATCGGAGATTGATCAGAATCTCTTTAAATTCGCCGTAAAAATCACCACCTACTGGCTTGAATACCACTACAATGGCTCCGACAATGACCATTGTAAATACGTATTTAATCATCCGTATTATATGTTATCGGTTTAAGTCGAGCCAAGAATGCAATGGTAAAAATAGAATTATTAAGATGGGACTTTTAGATATAAACATATATTGAGAAAAACATAAATTTATAACAAAAATCCACCTTAGTACGCGACACGTGAAAAGAATAAAAATAATAGATAATGAGAAAATATTTTACAATGAAATATAAATATTATTAATACGAAAACCCTCAATTTAATTATATTTTTAATATCTTGCCCAATACTCTTATAAAGGTGGTTCGTTTTCTAAAAAATTAAAAATTAATTAACAGCAAATTTCAAATTTATTTCAATATCTGCATGATAAAAAATGCCAATAAAACTCGTACCAAATACAAATCAATCCGACAAACAATTCCCCTCCTATATCTTGATATGCAATTCTGTAATTCTCATATGCATTTCTCTTTTACTCCCTTTCCCTCGCCCTCTTTCACTTCTTACCCTTACCGCCCTGCTTTTATATGAAAATATATATATTTTTTTTAAATTAGCCCCGAAAGTCGCATACCTTTGGATTCTGGAGATTTCTACTCCCAACTCCTTCCACACACGGTTGTATAGAAGACAAAATGTAATCCAATTTTCGTTTTTACGTTCCCCACACAAAAAAATTACAATTGATTTTTTAACGGTAATATATTGTCTGAACGTTATACACTCAAATATTAAATATTTTTTATATATTAAAATAATTTTTTTTTTATTAAAATTAACGTGTCTCGACTGCTGAGGTCATTTACACAACTACAATTATCTACAGAGTGGTTTTACAATATTGTTTTCATAAAATTACTTTGATTTAAATTTTTTGTAAAAGTTGAACGTCTTTTAAAAAACTGAAAAGGCACTGGTATTCTGTAGGTTCCCATAATATTTCTTCTAGTCTTGATTTCAGCTTGTTTGGTCTTCTTTGTTCGGAAAGGTGGTCACAGTCTATCAAAATATGTTTTACAGTCAAGACACTATCACAGTAGGTGCATATGGGTGCCTCACTGGTTGTCATCAAGTGGCTGTGAGTAAGTTTACTGTGTCCAATTCGTAATCTTCTTATTATGACTGCATTTGTTCTGGACAAAGAGGATAATCTGGGGGAAGCAATAATGGGTTGTATGTCTCGTAACTGTGTGGTCTCCATATTCCAGTGTGTTTGCCAATTGTCATGAACTGTTTTTCTAAACACACTCTTGATATCTTCATATATATGAATATCTTCAGCCGGTACGTCCAATGTGGAAGCTTCTTTGGCTGCACGGTCAGCTGCTTCGTTACCGCTAAGTCCAACGTGAGACGGAACCCAAATGATAGTGACGGACACTCCATTTGTCAGGGTTGGAATAGGTTGGAATAGGTGTCATGAATTGCGTTAACTAAGGGGTGTTCCGAGAAAGCATCTTTAATTGAGTGGATCGATGAAAGTGAGTCTGTACAGATTGCAGTATGACGGTCATTGGATGTTAACATCCGGAATGCTTCTAATATGCCATATAGTTCCCCAGTGTGTACGCTACATGTGGAAGGAAGTTTGATGAACTTATTGATGTTAGTGGATGTGACAACAGAACTACCAACACCTGATTCATTTTTAGAGGAATCAGTAAAAAGAATTGTGTTGAAATTGTTTTTATGGATGATACTTGGGAATGTTTGTTGGATTATTTCACGTGGTGTCTCAGTCTTATTAAATATGCTTAATAAAGTGTTTATGTGTGGTAATTTTTTATTCCATGGTGGAATTGCAGAAACAGATAAAGGGGTAGTTCTGGAAACATCAAAATTACCCAGTAGGGCTTTGAGAATATATGGTAGCGGTTGAGCTCTTCTAATCGATTGTGTGTTAGGTACTATGTGATTTGGTTGAATGAGTATCGTATATGCTGGATTTTGTGGATTGGCAGATACACTAGAATAATTTAATTAGTCTCCAATCCTAGAATTGATCCCGAGATCGCAGCGTAAAGCCAAATGACCCAGTCACAGTTTCATGGCCACACTAAATATTTTAGTTTACTCGTAATTAAATTGATTTCATACACTTTTATAAAAATGTCTGGTTTATCTTTAAATATAGACGAAATAATAATATAAATGATATTATTTGTTGATTCTACAAAGAAATAACTCATTTTAATGTATATTTACTTAATTTCAATAACTAAAAAATAAACTGACAATTAGTTTGACAGAATTGTCACTTATTTAAAATAATAATAGTCAGGTGACTAAAATATTTTTGCCGTGTTATCATTACGTAGAATAAATATGAAATATATTCGTTCAGTTGAACACAATGGCATAATTTTTCTTTTTGTAATTTGTGCGCAGAATAACTAAAATCCATGTGGGTGTAGATAATACTAGTTTGTGCAACAAGAGTGGATATGATGGCCATATCGCACGAAGACGAAATTTGAGTACTACGCCGTAGGCGGAGTGCTCAATCGTCTGAGTGCGATGTGGACAATCCACTCGAGTCGTACGGAATAGTTTTTATACAACCCACTAACGAAAATTTACAAATAAAAAAATATTTTAGTTTATTAAGACAAAACTAATTTTAAAATAGTTTACGCCCCCTCTAAAGTAGGTGGGGGGAGGGTGAATTGGCTGTATAGATAAATAAAAAATTAGAAAAAATTGGAAAGTATGGTGAATATGGTGAAGTTGGATAGTAGAGCGATGAGGGTTACACACACCCAACTCCCCTTGTTTATGGGACTCAAGAGTAACCTCAAAATAAAAAATGTGTTTCATATCATATCAATAAATGAGGGTTTTTAAATTTTATTGAATTTATTCTTTATTTAATTATAATGATACTGAGCTATGTTGTATCGTTAGTACATAAAAAAGTTTATGGTCGCGGATATGCAATGAACGTATGTATAAGAATAAAAAAAAAGTTAGAAACATGCAAATGCATATATGTTTTTCTCAAATTTTCAATAATGAGTATGGTCGAATTTCGACCACTGGGCGAACACTAGCTATAATTATTTGATAAAAAATTGCATGGACCATGTTTGCAAAGTGTACTTATCGAACTCGCCTCTTACTTACCTCTCTCGCTTCTCTCGCTCAGCTCATATTCTCAGACTAATTTGATAAAGAATCACTTTGCTGACTTGGTACATAAATATCTATTATTTGTATCAAAAATAACAGTGTAGGCTTGCAAAGTAGATTTTACAAGATACATGAAAAACATTTTTTTATTTTTTTTTACGTAAGGTAGGTGTTTCCAAATACCACAATTCTCTAGGCTCTCGATGGAGTTTATAATAGTGCTCGTGCCGATAATAAAGGAATGTGAAATAATGGAAAACTTTTTAATCCAAAAAAATTAACTACGGAGATTTTGCTAGTAAAACGATGATAGATAATAATATACCTAATCAAAAAACAAGTAATCCACTGTACCCTCTCTCCCATACACGACCTGAACAAATCTATAAACACAACTTATATATGCGGTAGAGCTGTAAAAGTAACGAGAAAACCAATACCCGTATGTATTCGTTACTTCAGAGCTGACTACCCGTATAAAAATATTCGTTACTCGTTACTTTCATTACTGTGATACGAATCTACAGAACATGCGGCGCATGGGCCTCGCACACGTCTAATGCGGATGCGGAATTGGGGTGAGATTACAGAACGTCTGCAACTTTGCAGATCTGCAACTTTGCAGATCTGCAAATATGGCGGACTTACAAATGCAAGTATTCCAAAAAATATCTGCAAATTCGCAATATTTATTGTGGTTTATTACCCCCAACAACACTAAACCCAAATTTGAAATACGAAAACTTGATACTTGATAGTGTAAGTCAGTCATATTTGCAGATTTTCAAAGTTGCCGCCATATTTGCAGATCTGCAAAGTTGCAGACGTTCTGTAATCTCACCCTTGATGTCTAACTAATCGTACGTACGCATTGGTTCGGTTGTTAGGTTGGTACTGTCTAACAGGTAGAAGTTCATTCGATAAGAAAAAATTATCGACTACAGAACGAGAAATCATAGAAGGAACCCCAGAGATTACAATAGAAAGTAAAGTTCAAATCAAACAATTGCGAAGTGTCCAAGAAATAAAATCAAAAGAGACACTTTCTCAAAAAACTGTAACGATTAAAAAACGTGTTAAAGGATATGAGACAACAAAAACATTAATGGAGGAAGAAACATGTCAAGAAACTGTTTCACCAACGTTCGAAGATAAAGATCAGGATGATGAAAAAACCAAATTAGGTATTAAACAACATTCAGCAGAAATTTTCAGAACGTTGGTAGAGACTATTTCTACAGAAACACTAACAAACGAACAATCTAAGATAAGCTCTACAACATTTGCCAAGCAAACAGCCACAACTGAAGATAATAACAAAGTGAGGTTACTGACCACATACTTGCAACAAGTGAAAATATTCTACATTCTAGTAAAATAGATGAAGATGAAGTAACGGAAAGTACCCTTATACAAACTAGTAAAAATTTAAAAGAAAGCAGTAAAAGTAGTTATAGGTCTAGAGATACATCAAAAATAACAAATATAACAGAACAACGAACAATAAACCTTGAACATTTATCAGAACTCGTAGCTACAACTGATTCTCAAACATATTTAGAACAACAAGAAAAGAAAGATGAATATCAATCGACCGCATATACAGAAAAAGTAATAATGAGAAAAGATACTTCACTATTGACTCATAAAAGTCCAGACTAATATATTTTAGTAAGAAACAAAAGAGATACTCCATTTACTGAAGAAGATAAAACTGATGAAAACCAAATACATGACGGGGTAGTGCTTCATATTGCGAAAGATAAAAAATCTCCGAAAGAAAGTCCAAAATCTCTAATTAAACCACAAGATCTACATATTTCTCATGAAATTCCAGAAAAACATGATATTAAATCTCTGGTAGATAAGAAAGGCATAACTCCTAAATCTCCAACTAAACTAGACGAACATGAAATACCTACAAAACCTATAGATGACGAAGTAGTTCCTCATATTACGGAAGATAAAAAATCTACGAAAGAAAGTCCAAAATCACCAATTAAACCACAAGAACTAGACATTTATCATGATATTCCAGAAAAACTTGATATTAAATCGCCGATAGACAAAAAAGACATTACTCCTAAATCTAAACCAGACAAACATAAAATAACTAAAAAACCTACAGACGTTGAGGTTGTTCCTCATATTATGGAAGATAAAAAATCTCCGAAAGAAAGTCCAAAATCTCCAACTAAACCACAAGAACTAGACAAAAAAGACATTACTCCTAAATCTATACCAGACGAACGTGAAATAACTAGAAAACCTACAGAAGATGAGATTGTTCCTCATATTACGGAAGATAAAAAATCTCCGAAAGAAAGTCCAAAATCTCCAACTAAACCACAAGAACTAGAAATTTCTCATGATATTCCAGCAAAACTTGTTAACAAGTAACGAAATTTAAAATGCAGTAACGAATTCGTATTTCGTATCTGACCGACTACCCGTTACTGAGTAACGAATACATACGGTTTGCCACAGCTCTAATATGCGGCCGTTTTTTTAACTGTGAAAAATATGCTATTTTAAATATTATTAACAAACAATAAATGTCATCTTTTTGCAAGTTGCTCAAAAATATACTTTGTTAATGAACCTAATTCTTTTTGCATCCTTCTACAGTTCTGTTCATACATTTCAATCAACGACGAGGTTCGCAATCGAAGTGTGATGTTTATAGAATTAACGAGGTCGTTAATCATCTGCTGCTTCACAGTCACTGGCCAATCAATTCAGCTACGATCTTGTGTGTGGAATCCGAGCTTCGGGTATTATTTGGGTTACACAATTGACTAAGCTCACACATATACACAGAACACCGCTCGCTTTATGCTCTCTGCTGGCTGTGAATTTACGTACCGTGACTTTGAAGAATGAGTTTTTGAATTGAATGCATTTCGCACCTGATTTTTTGAGTTTAGGCAGCAATGTGGAATCAATAATGGAGTGTATAAAAAAAAACTAAGGAAAATAAGCGATTTTTCAATAATAGCGCGATGAATATTAGACAAATAAATTTATTTTTAATTATTACATTTTATTCTTTCTTCAAGATTATGAGTTTTATTATAACTTCACTTATACGATACGTTATTGTAGTGTATTGAATTTGTGTAAATGATGACTCAATGCTGGGTCGAGATATACATATGTAAGATATGTACGATTCATTCATGTATCGAGACTCAGAGAATAAAGTTATATATCCACAGAGAGTATTTATTTAAAATTTAAAATGTACCAACTTTACATCAGTACCACAATACAATTTAATAATAAATAAATTGTACGGCGAAACTGTTTAAATTTGTAATATATGATAAACTGCATGCTTACTTTCAAAAATACATATCAACCGAACAACACGGATTTTGTCGTAAAAAATCTGTAGATACAAATTTATTAACTTTCAGTGATAAAATATTAAAATGTGTCAATTCTCGTGAGCAAGTAGATTGTATTTATACTGATTTTAAGAAAGCCTTCGATAAGGTAAATCACAATATTCTTCTAGCTAAACTGAAATATTATGGTCTTAGCGATCATCTAATAAATTTCTTTATGTCTTATCTAAAACTAAGGTATCAATACGTAATGTTTGGTGGTGAAGTATCTCATACAATCCACGCAGGATCTGGGTTCCCTCAGGGCTCCAATTTGGGCCCTCTACTTTTCTTAATATTTGTTATTGACCTTCCTCTACGTATTACATCAGACTGCCTAATGTATGCAGATGATCTGAAAATTTTTAAGAAAATATCCACCCTAGATGACTATCTAGACCTTCAAAATGACAGACTCAATTTCGGATTGGTCATTTGAAAATAAATTACATTTTAATCTTTCCAAATGCAAGGTTATTACATTCAGAAACATTCGTAATCCTCAAAATTTTATCTACACAATGCAAGGATCAACACTAGAAAGAGTGTCAAAAATGACCGACTTGGGAATAGTTTTTCAAAATTATTTCAAATTTGACGAGCATATCCATAACATTACCAAAGAAGCTAACAAATTGTTAGGTTTTTTGAAACGTACGACTAGGGACTTTACAGACACACACTCAATTAAAAATGTATTTTTTGCTCTCGTTCGTAGTAAATTAGAAAATGCATCCACTGTATGGGACCCTACACAACAAAATTTAAAACAAATTTTGGAAACTATTCAAAATAAATTTGTCAAATATTTATACTTTAAAAAGTATCATACAAGTCCAGGATTTGTTTCATTTGGACCTATTAGAAAAGAGTTTTAAATTGAAAAATTGGAACACAGACGCTCTATAATCAACCTTGTCTTTTTACATAAATTATTAAATGGATATTTGGACAGTCAATATTTACTGAGTCAAATAAAAATCAATGTTCCAATAGCAAGGGTATTCGTCCCCGTCAATTAACTTTTCGTGCGGATAATTAATGGTCCAGTAGAAAAAATTTGTCTTTTGTTTAATGTACACTCCGAAGGCATTTCTTGCAATATTTTTGATGTAGCTATAAGCACATATAGAAAGGAACTTAACAAAATTGTTCGGCTCGATTAAAGAGACATAACTAAAATTTTGTAGTAGCGAGGTTTGTTTATTATAATTTCACTTATATAATTAATTAGATATTATGTTGATTTCTATTTTAGCTGTATTTATAGGAACATGTAATTAGGCTCATGCCTGTTTGTTTCTGGAATAAATAAATAAATAAATAAATATGTTTGAAGAAGTAGCAATTAGTTTCGGCTAACTAGCCATCATTAGGATTGTAATATAAAATATGTAAGTTGTAACAAGTTTAATAATATTAGTATATTATGACGCTAATGCATAAACGAGCCTTTAAAGCATTAGCAACGAGTTTAAGGCCACGACGCGCAGCAGCGGAATTTATTCTGACAACCCTGCAGCAAACAAATACTTGACTATGCAGAATCTGCATTCACAGGCATTCTGACTGGTCATTGCCAAGTACGAAAGCATCTCCATATCATGGGGCTGTCAGAATCCGCACTCTGCAGAGGGTGCGAACAAGAAGATGAGACCATCGAGCATATCCTTTACGATTGCTCGACGCTCTCAATTATTAGAAGATTTGTGTTCGGCGAGTATTTGCGATTCAAGCTAAGTGATACGCCCTTTGGAGGAAATTAGTAGAAGGTCCCTATAAGTAGGATGACGTTCAGTGTTGCCAGAAGCAGCAAAATTTCGTTACGTCGTCGGATTTTAGTTCTTGAAGAAATGGATAAGACCTTTTATTTAAGAATCAAAATTTGTGTCTAGTAATATGTAATCATACTCTATATTTTTTTAAGGATTTTTTTTATAAAATCGATTTATTTTATTGATTTTTTTTTAATTTGAGTTCTTTTATTAATTTTAGTTTTAAAATCAGTCAGAGACAAAATCAGTTCATCATTTGGCAACATTGGCGTTCGTGTTCATTGTTTACATTTTAATTTGTATCAATTACAATTAGAGTTTTTTGTTACTTTTTAGCTTTAAATTTGTTTATTTCTTATAGTATGTGATAGTATTTAAATTAAAAAGGAAATCTGCGAAAAAGCCTCCAGCAAATTGCAATCTATATGGTGTTATTGTCAAAATCAAAACTGAAGTATTCATTATTTTTCAAGTGCAAGTCATAAAATTTTGTTTCTTACGATAAATGGGTATCTACAAATTCACAATATTGAAATTTTGCAAAACGTTGTTTAGAATCAAACTCCAATATGAGTTGTGACGGTTTTATTACCATTTACATGTATACAAAGTACTACACAATTCACTTCAAGATTAAAAGGTAAATATAAATGTTTAAACTCCCATTAAGCTGTTTTCATTTAAATCTGAAACACCCTATATAGACCAGGGTCGATAATTTTAAAAATGGTAGAAAGTGAAAAACAATTATAGTAGGATGAAACCCGTTAAAAAAGGACCAGAATATAACAAAAATGAAAGGAATAATAATTTACGGGCGATCTGAGGTCGGGAAGTGGAAGGGGGTGAGTTTTTAAGGGTAAAAAATGGTGTATCTCGATTTCCGGCAAAACTACAAGTCCTATGGAAAAAAAATTAAATGACAAAGTTGTAGGTAACAAAGAGACCTACAACTTTTGTAATTACACTTTTTTCACATAACCTCAAAATTTATGTGAAAAATACAAATAATCAAGTTTTTGGATTTTTATTTTTATCTTATGCAAAAAAAATTTTTTTAGTACCCTATTTACTTTAAATAGTTAGTTTATTTTGTTATGTTATTGATGTTTTCTTAAGTACTTTGTTTTGTTAAATTATTTCGCACATATATTGGATACCGAATTGTAAATTAGTCACATTTGAAAAAGAAGTTGTACTTCGAAACATGTCATGTGTAGTGTTTTTAATTCTTATTTTTTAAAATAAAAGTTTTGTGAAAATCTACCAAATTTGGTTTTACTCATTCAAGATAAAATGAATTTTCATCAAGTAAAGGCCAAAACAATAAATAATACAATAGCTAATAATATAAAATCTTAAAAACAAGAATTTAAATGGAACAGACTATTTTAGTCCGGATTCGTATTTAAAAGAAACCAAAAAACAGGTATCTTCAAACAAAAGATATTTTCTCACATAAAACTTGTGGAGTATTCATTCATATATCAATAGCCTTCAAAATGTAAATTCAACTAAAAACAAGTAAAAAAATTCTTACCATCCGCCATTTGTTTTCGAATTCGATAATTTATACGAATCAGAAAACAAAGCAAACTAGATTACCTTTCCGAATTCGGAAAACAGGTCAATGTGTACAATTTATGGCAATCGTTACACAATAGACATGCATGTTTCTTTTATGCAGCCAGTATAAAGTCTGTGTTATTTTTATTTTATTTTTTATATTGGGTGGAGTTATCCGTGTATCGGCAGGTAGTTGTGCATTGTAAAACGAGAAAATATATCGAGATCCTGAAATTTTTCAGAAACAATGAAAATTTCACGTAAATATTTTAAATAACTTTGTAACCAATACAATTTTGCATTCTATTAAATCGGTATCAGGCTCTAATGTATATTAACTATCTCTGATATTAAAAATAATAGTTTGATAATGTTATGTTGGTCTCGTTTTGGGTTATAAAATTCAGTAATATCATCTTCTGCCAAACTATTATCGCAGCATTAATAATTATAAAAATATTAAACACTTTTAAAAATGTTCCTAAATCAGCTCTTGACGTCTGGATCTTGTTTAACGTTATTGTCGTTAACCAGACCTTCACTTAATAACTATTATAATAATAAGCAAAATTTATTTGCAAACTATTTTTTTATAC